ATGTCTCTCTCTCTCTTTCTCACTACAGCGGACAGGAGTTCGACAGCATCTCATCAGTAAGACTAACCACAGTCTCAACACTGTGATGGGCACCAGGATGAACTAACACTCCTCCATTCAAGGACACCAAAACATGTAGAAAATACATACATAATTGTTACGGTCTGCGACCTTTTGTGTTGTGTGTGTGTATATGTTATTTCTTTTAGTCTCTTCTCTGTTCTCACTTTCATGCTCTTAGGTACCGCCTTCCTTGGATTCTGTTGGCTGTCTGTGCTGTCATTCATCATTAGTTAATTGACAACACGTTTCCTTTGCCAATGGCGTTCTTGTCCGAGAGGTTCAAAAGGAGAACGTCAGCGGGAAGACGGGGGTGACGTTTTGTATGGTGACTGTTTTGTGCACTCGTGGAATGTGTTTGTGTTGCGCTCTTGGGTTTTAACGGCTGGCGATGCTATGCCGCTGTGTGATCGGATGTCTTTGTCAGCTCGCCGCTGGTTTGGAAGACAAGGAAGGAGTGGAAGAGTTTAGGAAGTCACGTGACCTACATACCTGCACGTAGGGATATTGGATGTATAGACACACTAGTTTATTTGTGTGCGCTTTTCTTGTATGTTTTGATTTTGTATATTCAGTGTAGTTTATGACGCTTTTGCGTTGAAGATTTTTTCTTTTCTTTTCTTTAATAGTTTAGGGGTTTTGGGACTTAGTTAGATAATGGGATTTTTATTCCATTTTATTTTATGATTTAAGCGCCACTTTAACTTCCCTTCTTTTTCCTTTGTCTTGTTTGTTTAACTTGTTGTTCCTTGGGGGCAATAAATCTTTCTTGTAGTGCAGTTTCGCGTCATGTGTTCCATTGCCACTTATTTTCCCTGTCTTAGTTCTTTAATGTCAACTTAATGTTACCTCTTCTAATCCCTAGATAAAAATTCACATCAGAGACGTAACATTAAATGGGGGCTCGTCTGGGATATATTTTATAATTTTTCTCCATGTTTAGGAAAGAAAAATGGTTAATTACGCCCTTGATATAAATTGACATGTTGAGAGAGGTTAGGGTGGTGGCAAATGGAATTGTTGATTTTTTAGTAGTTGTGAAATGAGGTAAAAGGCAGTGAGTAACGCTTTTTTTTGGAAGGTAGTCATGTTCATGGTGCACTTGAAACATGTTCAGTTTAGAAGAATTTGTTAAGAGTCCTTCGTTGGAACAGCTTAACTTGTGTCGGAAACAGGATTTGTTTGCAATAGCTGATCATTTTAGTTTGACAGTCAGTAGACAGAATCGTAAGGCTGAGATAAAGAGTAGAATAATAGATCAGTTAGTCGAGCTAAATGTTCTTCTGAAGTCGAGAGTTGTGAGGGATGAAAATGCCGATCTGTTAAGCCCTAGTGACGTGGCAGTGGCTTCTTTCAGTTTGGGAGATGCGGACGTATGCAGTGGCAGAACAAACGTTGAAGCGGAGGTGGAGGCCGAAGCGGATGCGAAAGCTGGCTTGCCACCATTTGATCCGTTATCTCCTCTTTCTTTGGGTTCCAGAGACGATGCGCGACTGAAAGTCCGCTTGGCTCGTCTCCATTATGATGCGCAGGAGCGTACTCCGACACGTCAGGCTGAAATTGATCTACGCTTGCAGATACGCAGATTTGAAATCGAGGCTGATACGCAGGTGAGGCTGCGCCAGCTCGAACTTGATGCTACGAAGGCTGCTAGAGAGCCTGTTGTACGGCCAGGTCCAGCTCCTTTATCTGTTGCTTCTCCGGTGGCTGAGTCATCCCACTACAACTTTGACGTGAGTAAGCACATTGCTCTTGTTCCTCAATTCAGAGAATCTGAAATAGATTCATATTTTAATGCTTTTGAGCGGATTGCTACGTCACTTCGTTGGCCTAGTGAAGTTTGGTCATTGTTACTTCAAAGTAAATTGGTAGGCAAGGCTTTAGAAGTTTATTCTACATTATCAGTTGAAGAGAGTCTGAAGTATGATTCTGTAAAGTCTGCAATACTTTGTGCATATGAATTAGTACCTGAAGCATATAGGCAGAAGTTTAGAGCTTATAAGAAAACTTCTAGCCAGACGTTTGTGGAATTTGCTCGAGATAAAGGTACACTCTTTGATAAGTGGTGCACCGCAAACAAAGCGACTGATTTTAATTTGTTGCGGGAGCTAGTTTTACTTGAAGAATTAAAAAATTGCTTGCCTGAGAAAGTGGTAGTTTACCTGAATGAACAAAAAGTAACTTCGATGTCATATGCCGCTGTGCTACCTGACAAATTTATTTTAACTCACAAAAATGTTTTCGTACCTACACGTTCAGAAAATTCGCAACCGATTGTTGATGTTCTCGGAGTGCAGTTTGTGCGCTCAAAAGTTAATTCACCGCGAGCTAAAGAGGATCGCGAGTGTTTTTATTGTCATAAAAGAGGACACATTGTTGTGGATTGTTCATTGTTGAAACGAAAACAACAATCACCATCGAAGTCAGTAGGCTTTGTGAAAACTCTTAAACCTACTGCTGTTGTTTACTCTGGTGACGAAGTCGAAGAGACGTATCGACCATTTCTTCTTAAAGGTCTGATTTCTTTTTCTGGAAATGCTGATGAGCAAAAGGAAATTACGATGCTTCGGGATACTGGTTCGATGCAATCTTTTGTGGTGGAGAATAAGTTGCAGTTTTCTGATGACACTTCATGTAGCTCCAGTGTAATTGTACAAGGTATTGAGATGGGATGTGTAAAAGTGCCTTTGCATAATGTGCATTTGCAAAGTGACTTGTGTACTGGGTTTGTTCGAGTTGCAGTTTGTACTTCCCTTCCTGTGAAAGGAGTAGACTTCATATTGGGAAATGACTTGGCTGGAGGGAAAGTTATGCCCTTGTTGGAGGTTTTGGACAAACCAGAAGTCTGTGTGACAAATGAGGTTGGTGAAACATACCCTCATGTCTTTCCCATGTGCGCGGTTACACGTGCGCAGTTACGAAACTTGAAAGAGGTGGAGTTGAACGATTCATTCTTTCCTGCTGTAGTTAATGGAGATAAAGAACTTGATTTTGTAGTTCCTAAACAAAAGAAAGGGGAACAATTTCAAGAAATGCTGACTGATTCAGACTCGCTGATTTTAAAAGTGTCACGAGAGAAACTCATTTCTGCACAAAAAGAGGATGAAACTCTCACCACCGCTTTTAACTCCGTTGTCTCTGCTGGTATGGCTAAGTGTAAGCAGAATGCTTATTTTATTGACAATGGCTTGTTGCTTCTAAAATGGTGCGCATCACCAAAGCAAGATTCAGATTGGGATGTTTCTTATCAGATTGTGGTTCCTGTTCTAAATCGACCACATGTGCTATGTTTAGCGCATGATCATCCACTGTCAGGACATCTTGGAGTTAGGAAAACCTATAGTCGGATCTTAAAGCATTTTTTTTGGCCAGGACTGAAAAAGGATGTAGTTTGCTATTGTCGTTCTTGTCACACATGTCAAGTTGTTGGAAAACCAAACCAGGTTATTCCACCTGTTCCATTGAAACCAATCCCTTAGTTTAGGGGTTTTGGGATTTAGTTAGATAATGGGATTTTTATTCTATTTTATTTTATGATTTAAGCGCCACTTTAACTTCCCTTCTTTTCTTTTGTCTTGTTTGTTTAACTTGCTGTTCCTTGGGGGCAATAAATCTTTCTTGTAGTGCAGTTTCGCGTCATGTGTTCCATTGCCACTTATTTTCCCTGTCTTAGTTCTTTAATGTCAACTTAATGTTACCTCTTCTAATCCCTAGATAAAAATTCACATCAGAGACGTAACAATAATATTATTATAGATACATATATATTGTGCTATTTGAAGAAGTACAAATGCTGTTTATATTGAACAAATGCAGCTCACCAAGGCTGCATTTATTTGATCATAAATACAGTTAAAAATGTAATAGGCCTATTTTGAAATATTATTAAAAATGAAAGTAACTGTTTTCTATTTGAATATATTGTAAAATGTCATTTATTCCTGTGATGTAAAGCTGAAATTTCAGCATCATTACTCCAGTCTTCAGTGTCACATGATCCTTCAGAAATCATTCTAATATGCTGATTTGCTGCTCAAGAAACATTTCTGAATATTATCAATGTTGGAAAAAGTTCTGCTGCTTCATATTTTTGTGGAAACTGTGATACATTTTCATTTTCAGAATTGTTTAATGAATAGAAAGTTCAAAAGAACAAAATTTATGTGAAATAGAAATATTTTGTAACATAACCAAAGTACAAATATACATACATTAAAGAAAAGCACTTACAATGTAAGTCTATGAAGCAAGACATTAGAGGCTTTAAAAGCAGAAATGTACAGCTAGTATTTTTGTTTTGTCAATGTTCTGTATTCATGTCATATTGCATGTATTTCTATTGTAAGTACTATACTATAATTTAAATTTTTTTTCTAAGAAAGAAAACTGAGGGACTTTAATTGCATATTGTGATGTAGTTAATAAAAACAAGATGTTTGGGCTAGACATATCGAAGGACTTTCTTTGGATTGGATAGTCAACATAATAATGACATACAGTAAGATGAAATATGATGACTTACTGTGTGATGAACATCTAGGTTTCTTTCTGCAGCAGTCGCCTCTCCCTGCTGAGAGCTGTGCTCGCGCTTCACCTGAGATCAGGCACTGCGGAGGACAGACAGAACAGTGATTAACATGAGCTTATTAAAACGGCATGTGCATGATTAATCAAAAACATGCTGTTTATTAGTATGCTGTTTTAAACAGTTGGAGTTTCCAATTACTACTACCCAGGATGGTGGACGTTGAACATAGTCACTTTATTTCTTATTTATATTTATTTTTTAACATTTCAATTTAATTAATTGAATTTTTTCATCAATTTATTAAAATGTAGAAAATGTATAGCAATTTATATAAATATTTATATCAATTTATATATAAATGTATCTTTTTATAAATATTTTTGATCATGTATTTTTTTTAGAACTGTCAGTTCAACCGTGATTCTGCAATATTCTCCCCCAAAAATGACTTTTTAAAAATGTATAACACGTATACAACTTACGTTTTTAAATGTTTATTTTTGTGTATATAAAAATATATGTATATTTACATATTTTATACATTGTAAAAATATGGTCAGTAAGTATATATATATATTTTTTTTATTTAGTCATTTATTAGACGCTTTTATCCAAAGCGACTTACAAATGAGGACAACAGAAGCAATCAATTGTAGTATT